CGGCGGTTGTTTTTTTTTTTGACCTGGTTTGTACGTGACATTGGGTTTGTTTTTATGTATTCCTCCGCGCGAAGGAGCAGGGTAATTGCTAATGGTTTAAGAACTAACAGTATCATATAATGTAAGCATGTGAAAATGTTATCATGGGAAAATGTAATCATGGGAATATGTAAGCATGTGGAAAAAAAAAGTAAAGTTACGCTTAGGACATGACAGTACATAGGGTAGATGAAGTAGAGCTCATCTGTTTCTTGATCACGTCTTATACAGGAGTATTGTGGTCAGCACAATAATCATCCGCCTTAACATTCTTTAAGGTGAGTCAGTTACGCATGAGAATGGAACGTCCAACAGACTCAAGTTCGAGATCCGAACTTGAATCTTTCGCGTTAGCAGTGGTGCGCTCTTCCTCCCAACCACTCCGTCCCACTGTGAGATAAAGGTACTGTTTTCACCACTACTACCATGTTAAGGACCGTAATGGTCAGAGTAAACGCAATACTTGTCGGCTTACCACTGAAACTGAACCAAAATAAAACCAAAATAAAATGACAGAGCGATCGGTTTCTAACAAGCAAACCATGAGTTTAGATTCCTGAATGTAAAGACGTAGATAGACCTATAGTTAAGCGAACCGAAAATGAAAAGTGTGTTTTTCTTAACGAAAAGGCCTACACTTATTTATTTGGATTTTTTAAAACAATATTAGCCCTTATTAATATTTATTTATATCTTATTAGGTTTGATATGCATAAACAAACAAATAAAAGTAGTGTTTTTAAAATTACAAAACCACCAGATAGTTTTATTTACACGGGAACAAAATGTTACATTCAAAACACAAAGTAATCGATAAGTATAGCTAAAAAATAAAAATAAATAAAAACACAACTAATACATATAACAATAAGATGGGTTATCAAATTATACAGTGAGAAAACTTAATTTAAAAATTACAAGAAAATTAATTTTACAAAAGTGAAAATGGTTTCAGTTTAAAATAATAAATGACAGCAGGTGTTACAAAGAAAATGACGTCAGTAATGTCTAACAGGCTGGTATCCCGACCTCGTTTGAATCGAATTAATATACAAATCGAGAAAGAACGTAATTTATTTCTAAAGACAAATATACCCGTCATTTCATCATAAGCCACTCAGTTAAAAATACACTTGAAAAGAAACCACGAAACTTATCACCGTGGTTTTCGTATAAACTAGACAAACAGTTGTGCATTAGTGGTTTCCCTTTAATAATAGGACCTTTCAACTTCTGCGCAGGTCAAATTCAGCCTACGGATTTTGCAAGTCACGTGCTTCGCCTATATTTAGAATGACGGTCAATCCCAAGTTGACTACGAATAAGTTAACGCTTGATTGAGTAGGGTTGATATGTTTTTAGGTTAGGCTTTTAGTAAGTGGCGAATATTTTTTTTTTTTGAAAACTAATTTTCCATTGTTAAAAATCTAAGGGTTAAACGTATGTTTGCTTACTGAATAACTATTCCATTAAATAGTTACCAGTAGTTATAGTTAGGATTAAATGAAATATTCTCAAAATAAAGGTTAGAAATTCGGGCTAGTGATTTGAGGTTATGACTCGAATGCCATGATTTATTAAATTTATTTGAGAATTAAAATTTAAGTTCAAGTAATATTGATATACTTACTATATATATATATATATATATATATATATATATATATATATATATATATATATATATATATATATATATAGTAAGTATTTATATATATATATATATATATATATATATATATATATATATATATATATATATGTGTGTGTGTGTGTGTGTGTGTCTTGTCACCTTGTGTACCACAGGATAGCTGGTTCACTGAAATGGACTGTGTGTGTTTTGTGTTTTGTGTATTCTACTCTCTACATTAAACCAACCTATCTATCTTCACTTTTTTACATTACGTGTCGACAACAAGACTCGCTAAAAACAACAAATGGTCTAGTCTAGTCTAGTCTAAGAGAGAAAAAACATGGAGGGAGGGGGCCTTGGGGGATGGGGTGAATGTCGAGATTTAATTGCCAAGTTCTTTACAAACCGGCAAGACAAGGGTCAAGTTTATAAATAAATTTTGACCTCGCTTGATAAGCCGACGTAATGGCCGCCACATCGACAAATTAGCGAATAGGATTTTAAACATTTTTTTATGCAACAGATGAGTTCTTAATACTTATCCATACCTTCATAACAGTGTTGGTTAAATTAGTACTGGGCGTCGAGATTTAAAGGTAGGTATAAGACATTAATATTTGGGCACGGCTAATCGAACAGCGCCTATAAATCCTGAACTACGAAGTAAAGTTTGATGAGTTTCTGTATCGCCAAGTCACGGTGAGCTGTTCGAATAGCGGCGTGGGGTTAGAGTGTAGGTTAGGGGTGAGGTTTTAACAGGGGTGGTATATGTTTGAGGTTTATATGAGGGGGGGGGGCTTAGGGTTGAGATTAGGGTTGAGATTTTAACAGGGATGGCTTTGGGTTGAGGTAAGGGTTGTGGTTCAAAAGGGGGAATGTTAAGGTTGAGGTTAGGGTTTTGGTTTAAAGCAGGTGGGTTAGGAGTGGGGTTTAAAAAGGGGCTGGCTCCTGGGGGGGGGGGGGGTAGGTTTGTGGTTTATTGTGTGGGGTGTAAAGAGTTTGTTTAGTTAGGGCTTTGGTCAAAATACGCAACGTCTTACCCTTTAATCCAGTGTCGTCAGACAAAAAAAAAAAAAAAAAAAAAAAAAACGGCCCACTCTAGTTATTTAAACTTTTAATGATTTTATTCTTAATTAAATACAACGAATGAAATACAAAAAAATACATAATATGCTACCCCCTTCCCCTTGATCTACGTGTTAGATCGTTACACAATTGTCTCCCTCCCCCCCCCCCATCTCCCTGTATCAAATCTTTACAGGAGTGATAACTATTTTCCCACCCAACACCCACGTATCAAATCGACACACAATCATATTTCAATTTATCATTTTTCTTTTATATTTTTGTTTAAAATTATTTTATATTTTATTTTATATTAAATTATTTTATATTTATTTCAGTTAAATCCTGATCCCACTCAGTGGCGTCACCAGGGCGGGTGTCACCTGATGTGGTGACTTATGGTGACACACTACCGGCCAATCATGTTGTGTCTCATGATCTCTTTACCGACAAACAATTACTAGAAAACAACCACAAAGTATTTTATCTCTTTAAAAAAAATATTTTTCTCAGTTTGGTGTCACCCCCCCCCCCCCCCCGCCCCACTCGAACAATGCCACCATGCGGCTCTCACCACACTCCCACCCATCTGGCAGAATTACATATCCTACCTTTTTCTAATAATAATGTCTTAACCCTACCCCCCCCCCCCCCCCCTTATAAACACTATTATAATCGTTTTGTTGTAGGTCTAACAAAAAAGAAACACGCCAATAAAAATCATTATTATTTCGTGTGTTTAATATATTATAAAACAAAACCTCATTTTCCTCCCGGACCTCAAAAAACGATTATTTTCAAACTGCTCAGTTCGCCGGAACACGTCAGTTGCCTTAGCGGGTCGAGTCGAGCGTTTCAAACTTTGGCATGATTAAACTTATCTCCCCTCTCTCCTTCCCCCTTCTCCAAAAAAAATAAAAATACATTAGACTTTGTCTCGAGTAATTGTAAACCTGTTAACTTTAAGATACCCCCCCCCCCCCCCCCCCACAGAATTCTTCTCCTAAGCTTATTTACGCCCCCCCTCCCCCCCCCCCAATCTTAAAACCATAAAAATAGCCAGCGAAAGGAAGTCTACCCCCCCTCCCCCCTCTTCTATGTAACATAACCTTTTTTTATTTTTTAAACCACCGTCAGCCACTGGATATTAACCACCTGCTCTCTCTGATAGTAATAAAACTATGGCGGTGAGAGAATTGTGAATCTGGTTATCTCCTATCTGACCTCAGGTCTACAACAATGACCCACCTTATGAATTAACCCCCCCCCCCCACACACACTCCCTCCCCCTCCCTCCCCACTGGATCTAAAATTTTACTCAATGAGAGATGTTCGACAAAAAAAAAATGTACATGAGCTTCGACTAGCGGGAAGTGACTAACAATGAGTAATTATCTAATTAAGTGAAACAAGAAAATAGCCCACGCCTAATTAACTAAAGGGTCTGGTATTATTTAACCGAAAGATTTACTGACTACATTATTAAAAAAAAAAAACACATATCCCCCCTCCCATTCCATATATTTCGATCACCCATTTGGATTTAGAAATAATACCTTTAAAAAATAACTAGAGGAAACGACTACTGAGTAATGTGAAAGTAAATTTATAGTAAAAGTAATCAGAAGTAAGCCTAGCCTACATAATCCTGAGAACTAAAATATATTTAATTCGTTAGTAATTTATTGGATAGATTTATTTTAAATATAAATTCTAGTTGTAAAATGTCTGTCTAGACGGAAAATAGATGAGATTAAAACATCGTGGCTATGTTAACTTGAATTTAAATAAATGTAAGTAGCGTGTTGAATAATACAAACTATCAAGGGACTATTTTTTCTCATTTTTTTTTCAAGTGTGTAGCTCGCGCCTAGCCTAAACCCCACGAAAAGCGGTTTAGCCTTGTCCTCATTCAGGCCGCTGTGTCATGTTTTGGTTCAGATGAATGGGCTGTATCATTCACGGCGAGGTTGGGCAGCCTGCCAACGCCAATCTTCTTTCACCTCCGCTTCTCTCCCCCTTCCCCGCTTTTTCGACTCTCTCGTCGTCTTTTCTCCCACAGGAAGTGACGTGCTGGTAGCGTCCCAGTTTTTGTTCTATATTTAGAAGATAACGTAAACTTCGCGTACTGCGACTGGCGGGCTCATAATTTGCGCATTTACATATTTGCGCCCGAAAAGGAGCTGACTGGTGGAGTCATGACCTACTTAAATTTTGTTGGCTGGCCGAATAGACGCCGATCGGCTCGCGCACGATATATACCGCGTTACGTACAGGAAAAAGTCGGTACGATAAAAGCTGGGAAGACAACAACTAACTAAAACTACCACGTAGAGACCTTTTTTAAAGGAAAAAAACGTTCTGTTTGTAAATATAAGAGCAGTTTACATTGGAACATACGACAATTAACAAATTTCTATAAAAGCTACTGTTTCAGGACCTGTTACCAACTTCTTCATTCAGCTTTCATAAATTGTGTATTATTTTTTCAAACTTTGTTTCAATTGATTTTCACTTTTGTATTGAAAAAACTTGGGATAATAAAACAACTGTTCTTCAATCAAAGTTTTTTTCACTGAAAGGCAAGTGAAATTTCTGGATTACATTCATACGTAGAGCAGTCACACTTTGGATTTCTAGTTAAATGTGTGCGAATTATCTTTTACAAGATAAGCCTTGAGCGGACGTTTGTTTTCATTTTGTTTTGCTTACATTTCCTGATTTTTCTTGTGTTCAGATGCCTTGCTTAGAAGCAGATATAATGTCAAACAATGAGCTTGGAGATTATTGCACTCCAGATCGACTCAGAGACGAGATCAGCAAAAATGCTAAAAATGTAATCATCATAGACTGCAGGCCCCAGTCTGAATTCGCTCGGGCCCATGTCCGAGGGTCCATCAACATAACGTTACCCACACTTATGCTCAAACGGTTGAAGAGAGGAAATTTAAACGTCTCCTCAATTATTCAAAACAACGAAGCCAAAGAGCGGTTCTCAAAGTATTCTAAAACTGCCTCAATAATCTTGTACGACGACTGTTCAACAGAGCTGAACGCCAACCCATCTTCGGTGATAAATTTACTTGTAAAAAAGTTGCGGCAGGATGGATGCCGGTCATCGTTTCTTCTTGGTAAGTTTTGTTTTTACCACCATAACCAAACTATTAATTAACATTAATTAACCTAGACTCTAGACTCTAGACTAGACCCCGATTATCTAGATTCCAAATTTCATAACGGAATAGGCTTAGTGAATACGATGTTAGTTTAATATGAAAGTACGGCTTGTGCCCAATACTCAGAAAATAAACTAGGATTAGCCTAACCCGTGGCGTAGGCAGGTGGTGTCGGGGAGGGGAGATGGACCCCCCCCCCCAACCTTTCTCACTTTTACGTTAGTTACATAGTTATTAGATCTAGATCTAGAATCTATTTGTAACAGATATTATAAAGATCTAGATCTTATGTAATGGCCTAAACCGAGAACATAGCAAAATGTATGGGAATTTGTCCACTCCCACGCACATAAAATATAAAGTGCAACTTGACTTTTACTTTACTTTATACTTTATAGTTTTTAACTATGAGCCGTACGTCTAGTTACTCGGTGGCGTATTGCTAAGTACTTCACAAAGTTACTCAGTACTTAGAATCTAGATCTAGATCTAGATGTCTTTAAACATAAATCTTATCCCGTTTAAATAGCCTATATTTTATTTTACAATAATTACATTTTAACACTGATTAGGTAATTAGATCTAGGTCACTACCAGTCTAGATAGGAGTTCTGGTTTATCAATATTTTGTTTTGCCGTTATTGTTGCATGTTTTGTTTATGATTACATGATTGTGTTTGACTTAAGCAAACCTATCCTTAGGAGCTTAGGCCTAACACTAATTTATTTTAAAATAAATGGTAAACTAGTACTTTTTAAACCTGTTAATGATAATGTAACTAGGTAACATAAAGATCTTAAAGATATTTCCTGAAAAGTGTTAGAATAAATTTAAAAAAAAATATTTTTATTTTTTTAGATTAACCTCATAATAATTATTTTTTTTTTAAACAGGGGGATTCTCAACTTTTGAAGAAAGGTTCCCTGAGTACTGTCAGAAAGACCACGAGAGCAGTATACTAGGACTCTGCAACCTAAGGATATCAGAGGAGCCAAGTTTTGGTGACAATGACACCCTGTCCACAGGCAGCACAGCCAGCCCCATATCCTGCCCGTACCCTGTCCAGGTGCTACCCTACCTGTACCTGGGCAGCGCCAAGAATTCAGCCGACCTGTCGCAGTTGAAGAAATACGGGATCACCTATGTGTTAAATGTGACCACAAATGTACCCAACATGTTCGAAAATGAAAAAAACTTTAAGTACCTGCAGATACCAATCTCCGACCACTGGTCACAGAACCTGTCCTCGTTTTTTCCTGAAGCAATTCGATTTATTGGTGAGTTTTTTGTTAGAAAAATAAATTAATTTAGTTAATTATTGGTTTAGTTAAGCCCAAAGCAGAAGCAATTGAGTTCCTAATCCTAAAATTAATTCGAAGAAAATGCTGCCCTCTCCAAAGAACCACAAAGCCACCCCCTGAAGCAAATAGCTTTAAACATAATAATAATCTTAAAATAATAGCTGTTAACCTTATCATAACCATTAAAATGGAACTGTTGTTTCTGTTTTATGCTTCTCATAAATTTATATTTTAAGATAAAATGTATGTTATGAATGTTTGGTTTACCTGACACTAGTAAAAGAAAAAAAGAGGCTTTAAATGTTTATTACTTGTATATTTGTTTGAAAAGGGGAATACCTTTTTGTATTTCTTTCATATTAGATACATATTTGACATGCTACCTCCTCCCTCCCACCTTTTAGCATTTATGTGGTGTATATATCAGTTACTACTGCAGCAGTAAACATTGAAAATAGAAATCCGTTACCCTTCAAAATTTGGCACGTGCAGTTAACATTTGATAGTTGGCGGCCATTTTTTCCCCTCCCTCTCCCAACATGCATGTGCTGAATCTCCTACTGAGTTGTGTGGGGAGGTGGGTGATGGGAGGCGGGTTGTGTGCCTGGGCGGTTGAAGTAGGGAGGGGGGGGGGAGGGGTGTGCGAACCTTGGCCTGGATGTAAACAACGTTAGAATGTGACAGGCTAACCGTTAGAAGGAAACTGCGGCTAGCTTGGGACCGACTGGATAAAGGCCATGACCCACGTAGGGGGGACGGGAGGGGGGGACGAAGAAACTAAAGCCGTGTTTCTAACCCTCATAGCCTAAGCCTTAAGAAACCCTGACAAGAATAGCGTAGGCCTTAAGAAGCCATAATAAAAAAAAATATACGACAAAAACAGCTTATCTACAGAGCCACAGTGGGAATGGTATAATTTTAACACAAGGATTATGAAAGAGGGACGGATAAAATTTAACTGCAACAATTTTTTTTTTAATGTGCCTGGTTAAGTCGGGCCGGGGGTGGACTGTTGTTACAGTTGTTGAGTTCACATGCTTAAGAGGTCAAAGACTAATTGGTGTGAGTAATTATCCCGCTTCAAGGAAGTGAAATAATAGCGGTGAAGATGTGTTGTGGCCTTAGTGGTGCCTAGAATAGACGAGTGGTGCGGCTAGACTGGCGCCAGGCTGTTCCCTTCTTGAACGGTGCTTTCCGGTGCGTTTAAGATATACCAAGACTCTGCGTGCGTCTCCGTGTAGTTGAGATAATGGGACTTTTCCGCCATACCTAGCGCTGATGTGTAATTATTTTCTTTGAGTGAGTTCATAATTTGAAGACGTATAGTTGTTGCTATACTACAACACAGATTCACTTAAAAGCCGCCAAACAAAACGTAACTTCGTAATAGTTTCCGGTCATTATATTTTAGTTCACTATAATAGTTTGCTTTTTTTTTTTCGTGTAAAGAGATTCAATCGTATTGACGTTTCAGCGTTTTTTATGTGTTAAATAAATTTCACGTGTGGGGGAAAATTTGTTTTTTAAATAAAAAAAACTCGAGTGTTCCCGGCTGTAATTTTAAAGTACATGGCGTGACCCACTGACATTTACCTGGCCAATTTTATCAATGCCAGGTTGATTTTTTTTCGGTAGTGTAAAACCCGGATTTTTTTTTTCATTAAAAAAACAAACAAACAGATTAAGCACTACCCATTGTATTGGTCGTAGTACTACCCGTAGTGGGTTCAAGTAAATGTGTACTCACATTAAATAAAATTTAAAAGAGAGGAAACTGATAAGGGAGGTAACGATGCTGACAGTTGTAAATTTTAAATGTCAACGTTGTGCTGATACCACGATCGGCTAATGTTTGGTGTTTTTAATTGGTGCTAATTGGAACCCGGTGACGTATGGCGCTAAGGGGAACGAGTGAAATTGGTTAAAAAAATAGACTCTAATAGGCGCTAAGTAAACATTCATTATCGATTATGGTTTAGTGGATCTATTTTTATACAGATGAAAAGATAGTTTTACATTACATCGATGGCTGGCGGGTTTTTTTTTTTTATCACGAAGAGTGAGTCATTGAAATCAATGTGGCATCATTTAGTTATGTAGGTGTGATGAAATGTGGGATTTCTGTAAGGGAAAGTGTTAGAAATGTGTGTCTGTGAACATTATTCTTATTTATATTTGTTTCGTGTGTTGTGTGAAAATGAATTTTAATTTTTTTATTTAAAGTTTTATGTTGGACATGTACTAGGATACTAGAGTTAAATATTTTTTTACTGATACAAAATTCACTGATTAATAATTTAATTTTTTTTCTTTCAATCAGATGAAGCTAGAGACAATCAGAAAGGCATTCTTGTCCACTGCCTAGCTGGTATCAGCCGGTCGGTCACCGTCACAGTGGCCTATCTAATGAGCCGAGAGAACATGAGCCTGAACCAGGCCTATGACCACGTCAAGATGTGCAAGCCCAACATCTCCCCCAACTTCACCTTCATGGGCCAGCTGCTGGACTTTGAAAAGGACCTCCACGGAGAGAAGGGGGTTGACTCTGGGGACGAAAGTCTTCCCAGCGACTCGGAGAAACTGAGCCCCACCAGTAGTAACTGCAGCCCGATTTGATATTTTGTAACTCGTTAAGTTAGTTAATTAAAGCAATTTTTTTATAAGGTTAATTGGTAGTGTGGTTGTTATGTTCGTTAGCTTGTCTGCTTGTTCTTAGGTTTTTCTACATAAGATTTGAATCTGATTAGTAATATTCAGATGTTCTTTCAAAATATATTAACTGCAGCATCAGTTTTTTCTATTTACAGTTGTTGACAATTTTTTACCACACTACTATGTAGAATATTAAAAAAAAATCCTTCAGTTCAATATATCTGGTTGTAATGTCAAAGAATGTATTTTGTACATAGATATATAGATATTAAATATATATATAATATATATATAATAGCATTGAGCTGTTGAAATCAAAAGATAGCCTGTTTTAACTGAACTCTGTGATTTTGAAAATTTGTTTAACATTGAGAAATCTGGCAAATTTATTCTCTAACTAAACTGTTTTTTTTTAATAACTATTCCTGTCAATGTAAAATGAAAACATTTTTTTGTGTGTTGAGTATATCCTCTGGCAGTGAAATAGTATGAGTTGTTTCAACACGTTGTTATTTTGCTGACTGCGCTGTCCTGAACAGGATACTGTTGATGTTCAAATTTTTACACATGTTGACCTGTTCAGCATCTAATGAAAATTATGTGGGCTTCCTCTTCTAGTGTCGTGCCTGACCTTACGAGTGATAGTTTGTTTTATAAAAAATTTTTGTTTGTTAACGTAGGTTTGTTCATACTGAAATAGTTGTTAATGTAAAAAAAAACTAAAAATCCTTTTCCGCCATTTAAAGTGTCCAAATGAATTACCATGATACGGCTACACGTTGTAGATCCGATTTGTTTACTGGTAAAAAATATGACAGCCGTTGTCTTGTTCAGACAACAGAGCTCAGCCTTTACTATGGGCTTGTCTTTTGCCAGACAGCCTTGGGAAGTGTACGTACAATTTGTATGTATGTAAAGTTTGTTGTACATAAGTAACAGCATAACTAAAGTTCTCCGCGGACTTAGGACTGTTAGTCTTTCAAGTTTTCAAAAAGTTGTATTTTTAGTTGTAAGTTGTTTTTTTTTTCTACCTGTTCATTTTAATTAGTTCCACCTTCAGATGGCAGCAGGTTTTAATTACATGTCATTAATTAATTATATTTAGGATTTTAAAATAATTTGAATGAATACGAAATAGCTAATGTCTTGATTCATTGTCATGCCTATAATAATAGATTCAAGGTAGTAATATAGAACGGGGGGGGGGGGTAATAGAATGAATCATATGGGACCATTAAGCTTGAAGAAGCTAATTAAAAATATAAATTAATAGGAGTTAAGGGAATACCTGATAATCTGTATACTTAATTGATCTGTTTACGGTTTAGTACTAGTAAAATTAATTCGGCTAGTAATATAGAGAATAGCTTTAAACCTAAAAACAATTCAAAATTAATGGCACAATTTTAACACTTTGATTTATGGAGTGCCATTGATATAAAATAACTTGCATTTTTAAAAAAATATCTTGTTTATATATTGTTATTGAACTACCATTACTATATATAATATATTTCAACTAAATCTGTGATTATATTGCCTTGTGGTACAAAGCTAACAAATGACTGTTAGTTTGACGTTTATGCTTAAAACTTACAGTTGTCTAATTTGATAGAAATGTGGTGAAATTTGGTCAAATCTTCCCTGGCATAAGTACCCCTGTTGTCACGACAGTTTGCTTCGGTATTTGACAGAAATTCGCCAACATTTTGTACATAGTATGGACTAAATAATGTCGTTACCCAAATTTAGGTCATTAAGCTAATGTATATTTACATCGCACCCACTGCCAATATTGTTATGCGCTGGTTAGGAGTTTGCGCACTGGTATTGAGAACATTTTTATCACAAAGCCTCCTTAGACTGTGAGTTTTAAATAAATTTGATCATTTGTATAGTTATTTTCACTAGAGTTTTAATAGTATCAGAGATCCTCTGTGTGATTGGTCTATTGGAATAAAAAAAAAATCAATAAGTTTTAAAGAAATAAAAGAGAAATTTTTTTTTTAACTGTTTGACCACCTGTTACAGTTAGTGCTATCTGTCAGCACACCTGTGGATCCCAGGCTCTTCCGATGAGTTCTAGTCACCTGGAGACAGCTGCCTTACTCTTTTGTAGTTTGGTTTCCATGGCAACATTATGATTTTTTTTTAAAAAATTTTTGAAATTTTTCTATCCAATTTTGTATTTTTAATTTAGTTTATCAAGTGTATGTTTGCTGTAGTAAAAAGTTAGCTTTTTAGAAATTAGCTTCATTGTTCATTTAGCACATTTTAAATTGATTTCTTATCTAATTTTTCTTCATGTAGTTACACTGTTAGATTTTCATTTTTTTATTTTTTTTTTCATTTTTATTAGTCTAAAGTAGTTCATAATCAAAACCTAGCCTCTTTAAAGTAATTGTTGAAAGCTACATAGAAAATTGTACGGATAGTGACATGGGAAAAAAAATCTGTACGAAAAACATCCATAATAGTTTTTGGATACCTGAACACGATTCATATATTTGATATATTCCTATCTTACACCAAAGTGGCTTTGGATAACTATTTTGTTGTTAATAAATTTGATGGGCTTCCATAGTAATTAAACCACCATGGTAGATGAATGACAACTATTTTTTTTTCTTAAATGCTTCCAAATATTTCTCCTAATTAGTCAGATGTTGGAAAATTTTTTTTTAATATCAATTTTTATTCACAAATTTTTTAAACATAGTTACTTTAAAGAGTGTTAACATGATTTGTTAAAAAAAGTTGTTAATTGTTGAAATAATACATTTTCATGGCCCTCTCTTTTTCTATCCCCCCCACCCCCTCCAACAACAGATAATGTTTCATTTACAGTCTTTGTATATAGAACAGTAAATCATGTTCATGAATCGTATATATGCTTACACCTCTTAAACATGTATTGTTATTCCTTGAGATGTTTTGAAGTTATCATGAGAACTGGTACTACAGTTGAAAAATAAAAAAATGTATTTTAAAAAAAATTGTCTTGACAAGTTTATAATAATATAAAAATTGTTGGACCTGCTCAGTCTGTTGTGTGTCCTGATGTAGCGTTCATGTCCAGTTGGTGTAAATGTGTCATGTTGTAATGGATGGATGTGTCAAGTTCAAGGTGGGGTGAACGCAAAGTTCATCATGGATAAACATGCCAAATTCAACATGGGATGGATTTGTCAAATTGGAAATTAAACAATGATATATGAAATATCCGCGAGAAGTTCAAATTCGGATATATGTGCCAAATTTCAAAATGGCCTAGATGTGTGAATTTCAGAAGAAAAAACACCAGATGTGCCTTTGAGATTGTAGGAGGTCCTTCCTACATATGTCTTACTGTTGACAAACTTCAGCCACCACATTTTCTTGCACTGACAGTGTCACTGTGACACAATAAAGCTGTCACTGCCAGTCGAAGTTACGCTGTTATAGGCAATATAAATGTGTCATTACGACAGCACTGGAAGAGATACAACTTTAAAAAAAAAAAATCATCCAGAAACCCTCTCCCCAGTAGCGTAGCGGGGGGGGGGGGGGGGGACGACGACATATGTCCCCGGGCGCCGACCTTAGGGGGCGCCTAAATGGGTTGGAAAAATAAATTGAAAGGTTGAGGGGGGTAAAAATCGAAAGTTTGAGGGAGGGGGGGTGCAAAACGAAAAGGCCGGGAAGGGTCGCTACGCCTCTGCCTCTCCCCTCAATATTGATTCAACTTCATTACAAGACACAGATTCAACTTCATTACAAGACACAGATTTAACTTCATTACAAGACATAGATTCTACTTCATTACAAGACAGATTCAACTTCATTACAAGACACACAGATTCAACTTCATTACAAAACACATATTCAACTTCATTACAAGACACAGATTTAACTTCATTACAAGACACAGATTCAATTCATTACAAGACACCGATTCAACTTCATTACAAGACACAATTTCAATTCATTACAAGACACATATTCAACTTCATTACAAGACACAGATTCAATTCATTACAAGACACAGATTCAACTTCATTACAAGACACATATTCAATTCATTACAAGACACCGATTCAACTTCATTACAAGACACAGATTCAATTCATTCCAAGACACATATTCAACTTCATTACAAGACACATATTCAATTCATTACAAGACACAGATTCAACTTCATTACAAGACACATATTTAACTTCATTACAAGACACCGATTCAACTTCATTACAAGACACAGATTCAACTTCATTACAAGACACATATTCAATTCATTACAAGACACAGATTCAACTTCATTACAAGACACATATTCAACTTCATTACAAGACACACATTCAATTTCATTACAAGATACAGATTCAACTTTATTACCTGACACACATTCAACTTCATTACAAGACACACATTCAACTTCATTACAAGACACATATTCAACTTCATTACAAGACACATATTCAACTTCATTACAAGACACACATTCAACTTCATTACAAGACACACATTCAACTTCATTACAAGACACACATTCAACTGCATTACAAGACACACATTCAACTTCATTACAAGACACATATTCAACTTCATTACAAGACACATATTCAACTTCATTACAAGACACACATTCAACTTCATTACAAGACACACATTCAACTTCATTACAAGACACATATTCAACTTCATTACAAGACACATATTCAACTTCATTACAAGACACAGATTCAACTTCATTACAAGACACACATTCAACTTCATTACAAGACACACATTCAACTTCATTACAAGACACAGATTCAAAGAAGGGAGCGTACATTAATAACACTGTACTTTTTTGTTTTTCATTTTTTTATTGGGCTTTTCAAACCAAAACAAAAATCTTTAAAATTTAAACATTGCTTTTGATTTCAATGCAAAATTATGACGTCACACTTTCTAAAACACTTTCTAGCACTTAGTCACACAAATCCCACCCGGCTACCATCCACCTCCACCCCCTATCCCTTCCTTGTTGCGTGGCGTCATTTATAGACAGCCCCTAATGGATTTTCATTTTTTCATTTAAGTAAATATTTATTTATGTCAACCCAACTTGGATTATAATTTTATACACCATGTCATTAACCGTAGAAACATCTGATCATTAAAAAAAAAAAAAACGAAACACCATACAATTTTTCCATTCGTATTAAATTAATTTCTGAAGGGAGGTAATCGCCTTTGTTTAAACCTCGACGCGATAAAAGCGTCTTAAAAAAATATTTACACCACGCACTGACGTCACAGACAACCGGAGTGATCTCTGGGAAGTTCTGAAAAATGCTTATCTCGCGTACACGTGGGCCACTTCCGGTGTGTGGAGCGCGTCCAGAAATAAATTGCTTACCTTTTCATCTCGGCTAAAGTGCAGACGTGGAAATGGTTGCAGCCGATTGGAAGAGGGCGACATCAGAGGGACGACAAGGCTATCGTGTTAACGGGGTTTTTTACTATCTGGTGCTGATAGCGCCGTTTACCCTCAACATACACACGTACAAGCCGCAAACCAGCTCTTAAATGACATCTGAAACATAATGTTTACATACCGGTAGATAAATATACATCTACCCAACATCACAAGTACTATATATATATATATATATATATATATATATATATATATATATATATATATATACACATATATATATATATATATACATATATATATATATATATATATATATATATATATATATATATATATATATATATATACATATATATATATACATATATATACGCATATAAATATATATATATATATATATATATATATATATATATATATATATATATATATATATATATATATATATATATATATATATATATATGTCTGTGAGTGTCTAAGTCTGTGTGTGAGTATTTGTGTGTATATCTCTCAGTGTGTGAGTCTGTATGTGTGTATGTGTGTTTGTCTGTATATGTGTGCCTATGTGTGTCTTTGTCTGTGTGTGTATCTGTGTGTTCCTGTATGTGTGTTTGTATGTGTGTTCGTCTGTATGTGTGTTTCTGTGTATGTGTGTCTATGTCTAAGTGTGTATGTGTGTGTATGTGTATGTGTAGAAATTAAGAATTCGATCCCCGCAAGAAACGCGTATCCTCAAAGTTTCGTTTGAAATGTGTAATTACTAAAAGTAATTAGCCGTAATGTAAAGTAAACAAGTGTGTAATGAGCTGAAACGTGTTGTCTAAAAACTTCATTAACGACAGCAGATGCAAGACATGCACTTCCTGCCGTCTACACACGCCTTTCAAGATGCTAATTAATTGCATTAATTAATTAGGCATTTGTTTTATGAGTTTAGAGGGAGAAGGGCAAGTTGGACGACGTGTGAACATTTTTCTGACATACATGTTACATACACATACACATGTTACATACACTTTTCATATGACGTCTTTGGGTGCGTTATTTGAAGGTCAATACATGGGCGTGTGTGTGAGTGTGTATGTGTGTGGGGTGTGCGTGCGGGGGGGGGGGGGGGTTCTTGTGTACTCCCTTACACACAAGGAGCCGTTCCAATGAACTATATCACATTTAATATAGTCAAACACTTAACCACACAACTTTAAAAAATCATACAGGCATAGGTATATTAGGGGTTGGGGAGGGAAGAGCAAAAGGTCGCTAGCAAACAGACCAATTTAACAATAAACTGTTGGGGCATTTTTAGAAATAATTTTGTTTTATTAAAGTTAGACGTAGAGATAAAATAATGTCTATTCATTTTGCTTTGATTACTTCTTTAAAAAATAACCGAAAATTTACAAATTAATCGCAGTTGTTTTGTAAATGCAATGACTTTTTAGCCCCCCCCCCCTCTTCCCCAAACAAAACGCTACACCACTGTGGCGTCACAAGGAGGTGGGGGTGCGGGTCTCACACCAGGTGAGACCATATTAGGGAGCGACACCAGGACAGAAAATAGTAAAATTTACCAACAAAATATCCAGTTAAAATAAAAAAAATAGTACGAAGAGATAGGTGACAAAAAAAGAGGATGCAAAATTGTTGAAAGGGTTGGGGTGACACCCTAAGATGCGACCCCAACCTAGTGACGCCACTGCTAGCGCCACCTTTGTTTCTACGTGTTTCTTTGAGTCACAACTTAATGTCATGCAGGAACGACAACTCCGATGCCTCGTCACTGTCAGGGGGACGTAACCCACCATTATATGACATAACCCGCTGTTTAAAAACGAGGGTTAGTAGGGCTATCATTTACTCCGCGTGGTGGCGGTAATACGACCCTCGTTTTAAAAAACAAGACCAGTAATTAGGCTAAAAATAGGCCAAGGCGGAATAATGCAGAGTTTTAGAAAAACTTAAAATAAATTGTAATTTGAAGGAAACGGATCTAAAAGAAGGCAAAATTCACTGTGTCAGTTCAAAAGAAAGTAGCTAAATCATGAATTATTTTTATGTATTCCGTTATTTAAAGAAACAAATCTAAAGTTAGAGTTTAAATTTTTGTTTGATTTTGGTAGTCAAAAATATAGCACTTCGGGTCCTCAAAGTAATATATTAAAAAAAAAAACAAAACAAAAAAAAAACAACAAAAAAAAAAAAAAAAAACCAACCCAGACACACGTATCTTAAC